TTTTATTGTAAACTTTTCCACGTCACCTCCTTCCCCAGCTCTGTGGAGACAAAACTCTGGGCTGAGGTCATCTTCTTAAAGTCTTGCAAAATCTTTGAGGTAGAAGGTGCTTAATACATTCTTGCAAATAATTAAGATTTTATCAAGGGTAAAGAAAGCAAGAAAAGAAAAAGTGGCAAATTTTAATGCCAGGCTTGGGATCTGGGGAAGGAGGGAGCTGGAATTCACACCACCGTTTACTGAGCACTGGGTGTCAGACCCCTTACAAGCATTCAGGGTGTTGTCACAGAGAAGGAAATTGAGGCATAGAGGGGTTAAGTCACATGCCCAAGGTGGCCCAGCTTGCAAACAGTAGAGATGGGATTTGAATACAGGTCCCTATATTTTGGAGCCCTGGATGTGTAAGACTCCTTCTCAGGAACGCAGGACCCAGCTGACCCTCCTCCAGGGAACACCTGAATGGCTTAAAAAGGTTTTATTGTATCTGAAATGTAAAAAAGAAAAGAAAAGGAAGGAAGGAAGGAAGAAAGGAAGGAAGGAAGGAAGGAAGGAAGGAAGGAAGGAAAGAAGGAAAAGAAAGAGAGAGAAAGAAAGAAAGAAAGAAAGAAAGAAAGAAAGAAAGAAAGAAAGAAAGAAGAGAAAGAACTTGGTAAATTTTAAAAGAATGACTACAAGACAATTCCCCTTCCCCCAAGTAACTGAGATCTCATGAGAGGAAGCCAAGACCACATCCTAACTGTCTCTGACTCTGAGCTCCCCCAAGTAGGGTCTAAGTCAGGGTCAAGTTTGTATTCTGGGTACTGAAAACAGATCCTGGCACATTGTCAGGAGCCCTCAGATGAATAATAAATGGGAGAAGGAGGCAGGGAGGGGGGAGGGGGAAGGAGAGGGGAGAGGGGAGGGAGGGAGAGGCAGAGGGGAGAGGAGAGGGAGGGAGGAGGCAGGAAGACAGGGACTGGGCAGAAGCTCCAAGCAGGGAGAAGTGCTACTGCATCCAGAGGGGCAAAGCCCCCCCCCCCCACTGCCACACGTTGGCTGAACCCCCCAGGCCACACAGCCGTTGCCACCCGCCCCCATGCTTGTGCTGACATCACTAGAGAAGGGATGAGGGTGAGAGAAAGGAACGCTTGGCATCAAGCAAGATTCTCAAGGATTTGAGGCCTGGGGAGGCTGCAAAATCTTCTTCCTCAGGGAGGAGGCCAGGTAGATGGTGGCTCTCCAGGTTTAAGTGTTTCCCCTCTCCCCCCCAAAGAGGAGGGGGAGGGGCAGACCGAGGGTGTGGCAGAGGGAAAAAGGGAGAGAGAGTGGGGGAAGAAGGAGGGAGGGAGGGAGGGAGAGGAGAAAAGGCTGGTGGGCAGGGAAGGCGCTGGCGGGTCCGTCCTGTCTGAGGAGGGGGCTCACCCTCACTGGAGCTGAGCACTGACCATCAGAAAGGACACACCCACAGTGCCCCCCCCACCATGTCCCCTCCTGCCCTTTCTGTTGGTGGATGTTGGGAGGTCCAGAGGGTCCAGAGGAACTGGCTGATGGCAGGGGGCATGTGGTGGGGTGGGGGTGGGGGGACAGCGACTGCTGGCTAACCCTCTGGTGCCTATGGTGACCTTTGCTTGCAGGTGACCGGAGGGCAAGGGTGCCGCTCCCAGCCCTCAGGATCCCAGCCGCGCATCCTCCGTGCTGGCTGCCCACATCTACCTGGGAGGCCGGTGGTGTGGCCGAGAGCATGGTGCTGCTCAGGTGGGCGGCCCTGGGTTCAAGTCCTGACAAGGCTGCTCACTTGCACAAGCAGCGGGGCCAGGCTCACCCCGGGGCCTCAGCCGCCCCACCTCCCATGCACCAGACAGGTCCCTGCCGCTGCTCCAGCAAAGCCTCCTCGGAGGGAGTCAGGTGGGGGGTGCCGCGCCCCCCTCCTCTCCTGGCGCCCTCCTCCTGGGGCTGATGTCTCCTGTGGGCCTCTCGGAGCCTTGGAAAACGGATCAGTGACTTCCCATCTCAGAAGGAAATCCAGAGCTTCTGTCCCCCGCTACCTCTCTGTTGTCGCGCGCCACATGACCCCGGGTGAGTGGTTCTTGGCCCTGGCTACACATTAGGCTCTAAGGAGCTTTTTACACACTACTGATGCCTGTCCCCACCACCAGGTCTGAGTGAATCGAATCTATCTGAGCTGGAACCAGGCATCGGCACTTTCTACACGCCGGCCACTGTGTCCAGCCCACCTCCTCCTTGCTCATTCTCAAGTCGCTCCCTTCAGGGCCTTTGCTGGAACACTCTGTCCTTGGGGTCCACATGGCTCCCCCCTCCAAGTCATGCTCCCCCTGATCTTGTCCGGGATTCCCCCGCCCCGGGACCATCACATCTCCCCTGACCCTGCTCGATTTTGCCTTACTACACTTCTGACCTCCTGATGTACCGGGCGTGTATTTGGGTGACAGCTTTCTAAGCTCTATGACACCAGGGACATGGAGTTCATTCACTCCCCTCCTCAGGGCCCAACACAGTGCCTGGCCCACAACAAGCGCTTGACGAAAACCTGTGTAAGGAAAGCCCTTCTCTGCCAGCAGGCCCGAGCCCCTGGAAGGGGAGGGCAGACTCATGCATCTCGGTGTCCTGCGACCAGCGGACCGATTTATGGTGCCGATGATTTGCTCTGGAGACAGAGGGGCTCATGCTGGGAGGTGCCAAGACCGGAAGCAGGTGTCCAAACAGACGGAGGTGGAAAGACGGGTCTCGAGGGGGCCCCTTCAGGGAAGAAGGGGAGGTCCAGCAGCAGCGCTGACACTCCACCGGTCCAAGCAGCCTGGCAGAGCCAAGGGACTGGAGGGGCAGGGCGCCTGGGAGCCCACAGGAAGGGGAGGGCGGGGCGGGGAGAGCCCGCCCCAGCTCCCACCCCGCCCCTGCAGCCATCCACAAATGCCTTTGGTCAGCAGACTACAAATGACCGGCAGAGCGGACGCGCTGAAGTGAGAGGCCAGTCGGGGCCCCGGGGCCCCCTGACCTACCCCAGGAGCAGATGGCAGAAGTGGCGCCGGGGGGGCATGACTCACTAAGGGGTGCTTTTGCCCAGGGCTCCAGCGAGATGAGCAGGCTCCTGAGCCCTAAGGCAAGGGGGGGGGGCAGGAAACAGGTGCCTGTGCTGTTTAGCCTGGCACTAGAAAGGCGGGGATAGCCCCTGCCGCCCTCCGCCCCTGCAGCTCAGAACCAGACTCTCCGGGCCCTCCAGCTTCCTTCTCCAGAACCGCTTTTCCATGGAAAGGTTTGGAGCGCCTGGTGCGAACCTGTCGCTGGGTCCCCAGGCTTTCTAGGGCGGTTCAGAGTGCTTCGAGGTCTCCACATAGAGCTCCAACATGCCCCCCACCCATGTGAGCCTCCACAGCAGACAGAATAGCCCCCCGACTCTTAAAGGGGCAGGCCCCTCTGTGAACGGTGGTGGGGGGCCATCAGTGGTGCCCACAATGGTGGTCTCTCGATAGCTCCAGCGAAGCGCCCACTTGCAGTCCTGCCTTGCATTCGTCTCCCTGGCTCTCAGCGCCCCGCACTGTCCACACCTCCTCCTCTCTGCTCCTTTCCCTCCTTGAAGACCAGTGGCTGGCATGGCAGACAGCCCTGGGATTCTTATTTGCTATATGACTCTGGGAGGACGTTCAACTTCACTCTCCTCACCTGCAAAGCAGGGAGAGAAATGGGCGCTGTGAGGGGTCTACGAGATGCTTCTGCACGTGCCTGGCACGCAGTAGGGAGCCTCATAAATTTCAGGTCTGTCTGGTCTCTTTCCAAACTCAGCTTTTTGTTTTGTTTTGAGAGAGAGAGAGAGAGCTCATGGAAGGAGCAGAGAGAAAGGGAGAGAGAGAATCCCAAGCAGGCTCTGTGGTGTGAGTGCAGAGCCCGCTCAGGGCTCGATTCCACAGCAGTAAGACCATGACCTGAGCAGAAACTAAGAGTAGGACGCTTAACCGACTGAGTCACCCGGGTGCACCCCCCCCCCCACGACCTTTTAGCTTAAAAGGTCGTACTCTGGGAGCACCTGGGTGGCTCAGTCAGTTGAGTGTCCCACTCTTGATTCAGCTCATATCATTATGCCAGGGTCGTGGGATCAAGCTGTCCATCACTTAGCATGGAGCCTGCTTAAGATTCTCTCTCTAGCTCATGCTCATGCCCCTCCCACTCATGCTTTCTCTCTCTCTTTCAAATATATATATACATATATATACATATATATTTGAAACCCTGATTCCCACCAGTGCATCTCCCATCAAGGACTAAGCGTCCTATAGTTTGGTGACCGCTGCCTGCAAAGAGTGAGGAAGTCTAGGGGACAGAAGTGGTGCTGGGCTGAGACCCAAGCCCTGGTCCGCCCCTTACTTTGGCGACCTTGGAAGACATCACCCAACCTCAGCACTCGCTTCCTTCCCTGAAAGCAGCCACGCCAAGGAGGTCAGCAGACTGGAAGGTTGTTACGGCCGGCCGTGGGGCCACTGCACAGGGAGGGTCGGGAGGTGCGGTTTGGGGCTGGCCGCCTCCGAGCGCTGTCAGGAGAACAAACCCGGACACTGACTTGGAAGACAGCGCAGGAAGCTGGGGACTTTGGATGTGTTTGGAAGAAGGTTGTGCACACCCACGGTGAGAGGCGGTCTGGGCAGCACAACGTGAATCCCGGGTTTGTAGAAACTGCTGCTTGGCTGGACGATAGAGGTGCGCACCCTCATTCTGTACCCTGGCCCTCCTCCGTGTCGACCTTCTCTTAAACCTCCCTCCTTCCCTCCCAGGAAGTCAGTAAGCTGTTTAGTTGCAGGAGCACAAGGGTCAGCTACAACAGCCAGCACCCCTGCCGGGGGTCCTGTTCTGGCCGGCTCCACCCCTCCACCCACCATCCGGGGCCCAGGCAGCCTCCACTCCCCCCAACACCAGACTTCCGGCCCTGGAGGCAGCAGCTTCCGGAATCCAGCAGGAAGGGTGCAGGGAGCCCCGCCCACGCCCAGGGTGGGCTCAGAGATGCACACAGACCAGACTCTCTGTCCGCTTTATATACATACACGTGCACAAGCACCCCCCCGCCGCACCCGAGGCCTGGGGAAAGGCCTCCAGTCCTCCATCTTTGGCATCAATCTGTCAAAATCAGCTTTTCTGTACAGACCGCTCGCTCCTTTCTGTACAACATGAATTAAATATATTATCTGTCTTTGTGCTGAGTCACAGGACATTCACAGTACAGTGGGGGGGGAAGGGAAGGACCTGTGGGGAGGCCAAGACCCTCCAGGGCTGCCCCTCAGGCTGAGGGGTCGAGCTGGGCAGGGGGCTCGTGTAGAATGGCCGGGCCTGGCCTCCTCTTGGCCTTGCCATTCAAGATTCGGCCAAGCGTCGAGGTGACCTTGGGGATACAGCAGGCGTGCTCCGAAGGGGTGGTGAGCGGTGCCTGCTTTGGGGCTGCGGCCCCTCATACTCCCAGCCCCCTAGGGCAGGGCTCTCAGGATCAGAGCCTGTGCATCCTATCCCACCTTCCTCCACCTCAGACCTACCCTTGGGGGGGGGGAAGGTGGGGGAAGGACTGGGTGGAGCATGGACAGGGCCACGGGGGTGGGAAGGAGGGAACGGGAGGCGAGGAGGGGAGGTTGTGCTAGCCCCAAGGAGCCGAGGCCCGCCTGGCACCAGTGTCAGGGTGACCCTGCATATCTTCGTGTGGCCCCCAGGACCGTGGCCCAGGGCCAGCTTATCAGCGCCCGGGCACAATGAGCAGGAATCGCTCTCGGGAAAGGGAGGACAGGCAGGAGCTTGGGTCAGAGTTCCAAGGGCAGTGAGTGCTCTACCACCTGCTGATTTAAGGCAATCCCTTCAGACTAGGAAGAGGGGTGGGAGCCAGCTGAGGTGACAGAGCGCAGCTGGTGGTACCAGGCCACCTCTGGACTCAGTTGGGGACCCGGCAGCATATGGGGCCTCTGACAAGGAGAGGGGATAGGAACTCGGTGAGGGCGTGCAGAAAAGGGCTGGGCGACTATTCTCTCTTATGGCCCAGGGACACCCTCCCTTCACGTGGGGGGAGGGGCTTTGGCACACACGCTGGCACCCAGCACTGCAGGGTCCTAGACAAGGTGCCATGTCGATTCCTGCTCTCCGAGAGTAAGAAGGTGAGTGACGTGTGGGTGGGGAGGCACGGGGGCGCCCGGGTCCCGGGCACAGTGCTCAGCCTGGCACCTGGATTCTCCTGTCCGTGTGGGTCCCACGCCGGTGCCCGAGCACTCTGGGGTGAGAAAGGGTCTGAAGTCCCTCCCCGCCCCCTCATCTCCTCCTGGGAAAGCAGCTCCGGCCCGGCTCCAGGGCCGGTGACAGAGGGCTTGGTGTGCAGGTGAAGGCTACAGGGGAGGCATGTGGGAAGCAGGAAGAGGAAACAGCCGTGGCCAGCAGGGCTGCCAAGAGGTGTTCTGGGCCAGCCATTAGCCTTGCTCCTCAGTCCTGCTGGGGCCACACAGGCCCCATCCTGCTCGTGGTTGTGCTCACTGTGACCTCTCGTCTCTCCGGGCAGCAGCAGGTGGATACGGCTCAGAAGATGCTCTGTCGCCGGTTCTTCCCTCGTCCTGGACAACAGAGGGGAGGGGTGGGGCTGCAGAGGGGAGGCTGGGCAGAAGGGTGCCCGAGGTCAGGAGGGACGGCTGTCCTCCGGTGCTGTTCTGACAGCCAGCAGAAGTATGCTCTCAGAAGCCAATTGGTCCTGGGTTCAAATCCCATCTCTGTTACTTACTAGCTTCATGCAATTGTGACTCAACCTCCCCTATGCTTCAGATTCATTGATTATGTGATGAGGAACATTAATAGTACCTATTTCAGGGTACCTGGCTGGCTCAGTTGGGAGAGCCTGCTATGCTTAAACTGGGGGTGGTGAGTTTGAGCCCCATGCTGAATATATATATGTATACACACATGCAAAAGCACCAGCTTCAAGGGGTGTTTTAGGATTAAACAGAATAATGCACCTGTCAACCATCGGCTGCTCTAGAGACAAGGTATGGAGGTGAGAGCAGTCAGAGTGTGAATGTACCAGAGAGAGCACGCACCTTCATCGGGGCTTTGTCAGATGCAGTGTGGGGTCTGGGGTGGGAGCTGACAAAGCACACACTGGAGGAGGAAGCCTGGGCAGGAGATACGGAAACCAGCCCCTTCCTCGCTCCCCACGGGCTCCTGCAGAGGCCAAGCTGATTCCCCCACCGCAGGGACTGGATGAGCCGCTCAGCCCCACCTCTGTTCTTCCAGAGGGAGGAGCACCTGCATGGTCTACATGTACGCCGACAAGTGGAGCGGTGGGGGAGCCCCTACCTGGCTGCTGAAAGGCCAGGCCCCGGTAGCCCGGGTCCTTCTGGAGCTGGATCTCCTTCAGGGAGAAGATGGAGGCAGCTACAGTGAGGGAGGGGAAAGGCAGGGAGAGAGCTGGGTGCGGGCGCCCTGATCCCAGAGCCCGTGGCCCCCCACACCTCCTGGCTGGGGACCCCCTTCATTCAGGACTGGGCCTTTGAGGCAGTGTCTTAGATCCCACGGGTTTGTCCCTTAGTTCCAGACGAGAACCCAAGGAGGGGAAGCCCTGGGCCCGAGGCAGCCCAGCTAGACGGGGACCTGTGGCCTCTTTGCTCCAGTTCTTCCACCCGCACCCACTGCCTCTTCTTTGGTTCTGGGGCGACCCTGGTCCCCTCCCCCAACCTCCCCCAGGCACTCACTATCTTCAAGCTGGTGCACACGCTCCCCCAGAGACCGGAAGTAGGGGTGGCTCAGGGCAGCCTCTGCTGACATGCGGCTCTTGGATTCATACTGAAAGGCAGAGCATAGGCTGCTGGGCCCTGGCTGGGGACTCTGGGCACCTCTCTGGGCAGCGCAGCTCCCACACTAAGTTAGACGGCCAAGAGGCGCGGGGCTGGAGTCTAACCCAGGAGCCCCCGGGGTCAGCCACCAGCCTCCACCTCCAAGCCGGTCCTAGGTCTCGGCTCCTAGGGTCTCCAACCACCAAGAGAAAACCAGAAAACGGGTCTTCCAGAGAATGACCTCCTCTCGGGATAGAAACACAGGTGCTAAACAACCACGACCCCAACATCAATAATAGTGATACTAACATGTAACACCACCTACCACCCTTCACTGTGTACTTACCTCAAGACAGGCCCCACACTGTGTTCCATAATCTCAGTTTATCCTCATGACTATCTTATAAAATAGGGATTATCAATTCCTCTTTGCAGTTGAGGAAAGGGAAGCCCAGAAAAGTTCTAGAGCTTGCCCAAGGCTATACGGCTAGTAATTGGGTCTGAACCCACTTATATGAGGTTTGAGTTCAAAGCACGCCCACTCCCAAGCCTGTGTGGAGACAGGGGCTCTTCTTGGGCTTGAGGGTGGGGCGACAGGGTGGAAGATGGGGTAGACGGCTGAGCTGTGAGGACAGAGCTCTGGCGGAGGGCCAAGGTGGGGCGTGGGGGCTTTGGGGCTATTTGACGGCTGGGACCAGCCGGGTGCACACTCACCAGGAGGAGGCCGGTCAGGAGGTGGATGCCTTCAGTGTCCAACCTGCAAGAGAATGGAGGGGGAACAGGCCTGGCCTGGGTGGTGATGGTGGTGGTGGTGGTGGTGGTGGTGGTGTGTGTGTGTGCGCGCGCGCGCGCGTGCACGTGCAGCCACCTCCAGAAAGGCCAGCCAGGACCACAATCAGGACAGGAGGTGTCGGGAGGCAAGGCTACCTGGGAGCGTGGCTGATGAGCGGCTGGGGGAGGTACCGCGGGAAGTTGTAGGCTCTGAACTCCGACAGGGCCAGCACGCCAGGCCACGTCTCTTCCGTAGGGGTCCCTGGGGAGACGAGAGGGGGTGGGAAGGACACGGTGAGGGGCCAGGGCCAAGGGCAACTTGGACAGGAGCAAGGAAAAAGGTGGGGGCAGAGAATGGCGGAGGCCACAGGGGTCTCCGCTCCGTTGAGAGGGAGTGGGAGCCCCTCTTCCCATTCCCTTTAGGCGCCTGGGCTGGAAAGACTTCTGGCGCCCCCTGGTGGCGAGAGGGAGGGAGCGGCCGGAGACTGACCGAGGAGTCGGAAGATGAGGTGCAGTTCCTCCTTGACCGTGGAGCCGGGGAAGAGGGGCCTCCCCGTGGCCATCTCGTAGTGGATGCAGCCCACGCCCCTGCGGGGAGCAACCGGCAGGGGCGACGTCAGGCTGGGCCTCCTCGCACCCGCCCTTCCTAGGGCTGCTCCACCAGGGCACCAAGGATGCCCTTCCTGCCACCGTGGCTCAAGTGGTCATGGCTCTGTGGTGGGTGGCCCGGGGCACGGGAGGCTGGCACAGCCCAACCCGCCACCGTGGCCTCTCTCTGGGGCTTCTCTCGGCTCCCCCCTCACTCTGTTGAGTTTGTGTCTGCACCCATGTGGCACCCTTAAGCAGTGCTGTCTCCAGCTCTGTCCACGTGTGCCCCTGCTGCAAGAGGTAAGTCCATACCTCCACTCTCCTGGGGCCTCCCTGCACAGAGCACAGTGGCCATTCATTGGAAAGCTGTGTTTTAGCTTTAAAATTAGGCTGAGTTTTCATTCAATGCCAAATCATATGCATGTTGATTTTAACACAAAAATAATATATACCCTTTCCAAAATGTTCAGTAGAACCAATGCTTGGGGAAGAGTTTCCTTTGGAAGCCCTCCTGTACCCTCTGGCCTAGGGGGTCTCTGGGCGCATGTTTCAGAAGCATAGCCCTGGAGGGTCTGCTTAGAGCCAGGGGAACCTCCATGTAGCCCAGAGTTAATTTTTCATATCCAGTTACTTCAGCAGGATGTCACATGGCTTCTAGTCAAAGGTTCAGCAATTCTTTGCAGAGGGACTTGAGGCCACAAAAGGGAGCGTGGAGGTGTGCCAGCCCCCCTCACCTTGGCCCCACGAAGCTCACTCACCACATGTCGATGGGGGTGGAGTACTCTGTGGACCCCAACAGCACATCAGGGGGCCGGTACCACAGGGTCACCACCTCATTGGAGTAGGTCTTTGTGGGCACTGACTTGGCCCGGGCCAGTCCTGGGGACAGACACGTTACTGAATGTCCGTCCCCCACAGCGCCCACGTCCCCAGACCACCGTGCCGGCGGCCCCCTCGCCTTGGCGGCCGCGGCCCTCACCAAAGTCAGCCAGCTTCAGCTCGCCCCGCTCACTGATGAGCAGGTTCTGCGGTTTCAGGTCCCGGTGCAGGATCTTGCGGCGGTGACAGTAGGCAAGGCCCCGGAGCAGCTGGAACATGAAAATCTGCCGGAGGAGGAGGGGAAGAGAAAGGTGAGCAACAGGAGGGGAGAGCATAACCCCCTGTGTCTCCGCCCCACAGCTCGCATGGGGACAGGGCAGGGACAGAGGGGCCGTGAGGTGTGACGGGTCTGGAGAGCTAGCTCGTGCTCCCCATCCTGGGCTCCATCTATCCCGGGGAGTCCCAGCCACAGAGGAGTGCACGAGGTATGCAGAAGAGGCAGCAGGGTGCTGGAGGCCAGAAAATTCTCTGGCCTGGGAGCTGGGGGAGTGGGGAGCAGAGTGCCATAAAGGGCCAGGAAGGGCCTGGGTAGGGAGGTCTGCACTTGATTCGTTAACAATGACCAGAAGAGGTCACTCATTGCTTCTCACTTCTCCAGAAGCCTCCCTTCATCCATACACCCATTTGACAGATGGGAAAACTGGTGCTCAGAGCAGGAGAGGGGATCTTATACCAACAGCTAGATGGTGGTGAAGGGTGTGTGTCTGCATTGGTGGGGTAGACTAGGGTGCTTACCCTGAACGGCAGTGACCTTGCACACCCTCATACATATGAAGATCTGAGCAACCTCAGCAGCTGGGCCCCTCTTGCTGAGAGCGGGTTCCCATGCCAGGCTCGAAAACGGGTGGGTGCCAAGATGGGGTGCCAGAGGGTAGGCGGCCCTCCGTGAGGCCCTCACCTTGACGTTATGCATGCTCATGAGGTTTCCACAGTGGTCCAGATACTGCTTCAGGTCACTGTCCTGGAACACGGAGCTTGACTCAGCCCCGACTCGTCCTGACCCCTGGCCGGAAGCCCCTCCCTGGGCAGGGCCCAAGCTCTGAGCTGCCCTTAAGCCCCGTTGGCCCACTCCTGCATGGGGGCATCTGAGAACCTGGTTCTAGAACAACACTTGGGCTGCCCCCACCCCCACCACAGAGAGGAGAAGCTGCTAGCCCCAGCGCCGCTCACCAGGTACTCGAACACCAGGGTGAGAGACCGCTCCGTGTGGACGAGGTCATGCAGGGTCACAATATTGGCGTGTTTGAGGTTCTTCAAAAGAGACACTGTGGGGGATGACAGGCCCGCCTGGGTCCCTGGGACCCCACACCCCCCTCGTACCCTCTCTTCCCGGGATCGGCCCCAGGAGCCCCCGCTCCAGCAATGACCCTGTGTCCTCAGGCTTCCACTGGGTCTCAGGTCGCCACCCTCCTCGCAGGAGCCCCCAGGGGAGCAGGGCCCTAGGACATCGTACCCTCTCGGATGGCCGTGCAAGGTGCGCCCTCCTCATGCTCCAGCCGGATCTCCTTCAGGGCCACGAGGTTCTCTGTCAGCTTGCTGCGCCCCTTGAAGACGGTGGCATAGGTACCCTGGGGACGAGAACCCCAGCCGCAGCAGCAGCCACACTCAGGGCCCGCGCGCCTCCACCTGGGCTGTGCCCTTCGCCCTTCTTCTCCTCTCACGGATATTCCGTGTTTCCTCCGAGGCCCCCCTCTCTGTGACCATCCCCCCCACCCCTCCCTGTTCAGGATGGACTGTCCTTCCCCGAGGCCCCCACAGGCTGGGTGCCGTTCTGTTGTGACCCCGGTTTTGTTCTTCCTTATGCTGACGTTTACACCTCCTCTCTGGGGTCCTGGAGGCAGGGGGCTGTGTCTGTAAACCTCCGCCCGCCCCAAGGCTCTGACGCCAAGTACGGCCCAGCAGTGACACAAAGAGCTAACGGCACCCAGGGCTTACCGTGTGCGGGCACTAAGTGTGTACATGAGCTTATTGTAATAACCTATTCCAGCCTCACAACCCTAGGGGGCAGAGCAGTTACATCTCCATTTCCAGAGGAAGAACCCAAGGCAGAGAGAGGTCATATAACTCGCAAGGCCACAGGGCTAGTGAATGGTAGAGCAGGGATTTGAATCCCGAGAAATACTTATAGGGGAAAAAAAATAAAAGAGGGGACTATGCCCAGAGCCCATGGGCCCCTCCATCCTTATGCCCTCCTCCAGGACCTGGGCCCCTCAACACCTGCAGAAGGCTGGGCCAGATGGGATGGCGGGGATGACGTGCCTCTCTGAGGCAGGGGGAATGAGAAGGCGGCGGGGGCGGGGGCGGGGGCGGAGTGGGGAGGGGAAGACACTGTCCCTGCTCTTAACGGTCCTGCCCAGCCTCTTACCTCTCCCAGTTTGTCCAGTTTCACGTATGTTTCCAGTTTCCCGAAGCCGATGTCTGACTGAGAGGGAGAGACACAGGGTCCTGTGAGCTTGAAGACCCCAGTAGCCCCACATACATGACACCCCCCAGCCAGCCTCCAGGAGGGAAGGGAATGAGACCCCCATCAGTGAGAGGGAACGACAGAGGCTAGCAGGGATGACAGCAGCCACAGATCCCGCCTCTTGGCCTCTCCCCTCTATGCCCGTGATAAAGGAAGGAGCCCTCAGGAGTGAGAGTTTCCTCCTCCCTGGCAGTGAAGGCTGTGGAGCCAGGGCTGGGGCACGTGGGGCCGCACACCTTCTCACGTGTCTGTCCGCCCTGATCAATCACCAGCTCGATGACCCCTGGGCAGAATCCAGTTCAGAACCCGCCTCCCCAGCAGCCTCTCTCATCAGCCCACCTTTTCTAGCTTGGAGGACAGATTCCTGGATCCCACCACCCAGAGTCTGATTCTGTGGGTGTCGGGAGCAGGGACCAGAGTCCGTGTGTTTTGCAGGATGCTCCCAAGGAAATCTGATAAGCGGCCATGCTTGGAGAGCAGGTGCCAGCTGCTCTGTGGCTCTCACTCCAGTGAAGATCCTGGGGCCCAGAGGGGGATTGAGGCTCAGCGCCAGCCCTGGTGGGGCTCCTCTAGGCAACCGAAGTTGACCAAGGAGTACAAGGTTTGTGAGTCTCCTGAGGCCAGCAGGTGGCGCCAGAGGCCCACAGACGACTGCTGACCTCAGCTGCCACCCAAAAAACTAGGACTGATGTATCCAAGTTGGGGAGAAGGTGGTCCACCCTGGTGACCTCGGGCCCTTCTAGGACTCACCAGGGATGCTCGGCGGGACATGCGGCTGAGCGGTTTGGGCAGGTCTGGACTCTCCAGCTGTAGCTTCTGCAGGAGTTCCTGGGGTAGACGAATGTCCATGGGCAGAGAGAGCCTCTTACTGATGTCCTACAATGGCCGGGAGGAGACAGGGACACTAGCATTTGCTCCACGTTGCCTTGTGCTGTGGGACCTTTCCCCCAGGGCCTGGCTTTACCCGGACGGCAAGCCCAGCAGGGCCAAACCACGGGCTGTGACCCCAGCCTCAGAGCTGCTTCAAAGATGTGCTCCGAGACATATGCGAACACACAGGGGCTGCTGTGTGACCTTAGGAGGTCCCTTCCCCTCTCTGGGCTGTAGTATAACCATCTATAGAATGAGATGCCTACAGATGCTGTGATTCTGTAAGCCTGTTTTGCATTTACTTGGGCGCATGCATATGGGTCACAAGAACAACAGTCAAATTGTCTAGCCCTTGCTATGCACCAGGACTGTTCTGTGCACTTGGTATATATTAACTTGCTTAATCTCCGCGATGACCATTTTAACACAAGGAGACTGGTATGCAGTGCTTGAGAAACCTGCTCAAGGTCACAGAGCTGAATAGGGGCAGTGCTGGGATTTGAACCCCTGAAGTCTGGCTCCCAGGCAAGCACCCTCGTTGGGCATACATTGTGGATGCATCCTGTCACCGGTACAAGGCAGAGCCCTGGGCCCCTCACCTCCATGGAGAAGCGGCGCTGCGTCTGCCGCCGGTACTGCATGCCGGGGGATGACTGCGCAGGGTATTCTCCACTGTCTGTTGGAGAGAAGGTGCTGGACTCCGGCTGGGGGTCTCTGCCAAGAGGACTGAGCTGCAGGTCTGAGAGGGAAAGGCATCAGCTGCCCACCCTGCCCTTCTGCCCCTGAGGGAGGGGAGGGGTGGGGAGGGGAGTCTGCTGCCCCACCTCTGTCCTTCCCCAGCAGTGAGGGTATGGTCAGGACGGGCCAGCGGGGGCTGCGGGGGAGCATCACGGATGGGGTGGGCGGGGGGGGCGGCAGACCTCTCACCTTCATTGTGCCGGTTGTGGAGCTGGTTGAACTGCTCTGTGAACTCCGTCAAGGACTCCTCGATGGTCTCTGTGCGGGGCACGGATAGGGAGAGACGGCGCTTAAAGTTCTTCATCTTGTTCATGGTCGGCAGGGACCAGGCAGCGGGGCCTAAGACAGCAGAGAGAAGAAGAGCAGGTGAAACAAGGCATCGGTGCTGTGCTGACACCGGATGCGAATTCTGGGTCTAGGTCTCCATCTGCCCTTCGAGCCCGGGGGCCCTGCATCCGGAAGCTGGGGTTGCATCTTCCTAACCAAAGTCCAAGCCCCCAGCAGAGAGAAGCTAGCCTCTCCTTCCCTGTGAATCTCGCCCCCCAGGACTCCCTGCTCCTGGGGAGACAGTCACACTACGAACCAAGCAGTGTAGCAAAGTACCGCTCCTAATAGCCGCGTGACAGGCCAGCAGGACCCTGGGGCCTCACCAGGGCCAGACGGCGGGTCTGGCCGGAGAACCCTTTTAGCTGCTGGAGGTCTAGAGGGTTCTCGAAAGAGGCCCGGAGTGGCAGCAAGGAGACCAGAACTGGGTGATGCTCAGGCCAAACAGCTCTTTACCAACTTGCGTGTGAGCCCGAGTGTGCCAACAGCCAGAGAGCAGAAGCTGAACATCAGCTCGGCCTACGGCCTTGTGACAGAATCTGGCCCAAACTCCCATTTCATCCTGCTGCTGACACCTGGAGGTCCCTCTCTGGCTTGTCCTAGGTCCCTGGGAGACAGGAAAGGGGAAGGAAGGGACAAGGGAGGGGCACACGCTGGCCCAGCCCCATCTCTCCAGCTGAAATGTGGGAGGTCAGGAGCAGCTGAAGGTCTCAGGGGAAACACAGAAGTCTGCCGACAAAGAGGGCCTTGGGGACAGGAGGCTGAGCCCCTCCCTCGCCAGAGCCCTGAGTGCGGGAGGGTGTCCCCTGCAGAGAACACAGTGGGGAGAAGGGTGGGCTGCTCTGCTCACCCTAAAAGCCCCTCTCTCACCCAGAAAGGGTTCCCTCCCTGTGCCTCCCCAGCCCTCCTGCTCTCTGAGTGAGGGGACATCTCTGGCCACCCAGCAAGACTGCTTCTTCCTACAGATACTTCCTTCTCTGTCCTGCCCCGAAAACCGGAGTGCAGCTGTCCCACCTCGGTTCCCCAAACTGTCCCCTCCCCGCTCTCCTTCATGATTTCACAAGATCTCAGTGTGGTTGCCCTCACCCTGCTCTGCCCACACCTCCCTCAGCTGCTGTGCAGTCGGGACCGAGGGGGCTCAGAAGGGCCCCACTGACGCCTCCCAAGAGGGCATCCAGGGGCAGTCCTGTGATGGGAGGGGGACACTCTGCTCCCTCTCCCAGCTTTTACCCACGCACCAAACACAGCCCATCCCCAGGGGATGCTCTCAGTCCCGTCACTAGCCAGTACCCCGTTGCCAAGGCAACCAGACCCCTCCGGAATCCTCCTGGTTTAAGGGTCAGTAATATGCTTGCTTTGCTTAATGATCATCCTCTGTCCTCAGCCAGCCTGGAAAGGGTCCCTTCCCCGGGCCCACAGGCTCCTGGCTGCCCCCAAATGCACCCGAGTGGTGGCCCTGCATTGAGCCTGGACCCCGAGACTGGGGCTGGCCAGGCCCTGTCTCCTCAGGCTGCCAGGCCTCAGAGTAGAGGGCTCAGGGCCACGCTGCCCGTGAGCCCATCTCTGTCAGTGGCCCTGGACGCTTGCTTAATTCAGCTCAACAAGTGAGGACTGAGTACCAAGTACCTACTGTGTCCAGGCATGGCACTAGGCACTGGGGTCACAATGGCCAATGAAGTGTGGTCTCTGTTCTTAAGGAACTCAGGGGCTGGTGAGACCTTTGATGAGAAAGTATCAGAAGCTCCTCTCCCATCTTTCTTGGCAAAGCCCAGCAGCCTTGGACCCTCCTGATTCTCCATCCCTGAGCTCATTCCTGCTGCCAACCTCAGCCGCTCCTCCATGGCTCTTTGCATCTCGGGCCTGCCTGCTGCTTCTTTTTAAATTTTTTTTAAATGTTTATTTATATATAATTTTGAGACACAGAGAGTACGAGCAGGAGAGGGGCAGAGAGAGAGGGAGACACAGAATCTGAAACAGGCTCCAGGCTCTGAGCTGTCAGCACAGAGCCCTATGTGGGGCTCAAACCCACGTACCGTGAGATCATGACCTGAGCCAAAGTTGCATGCTTAACCGACTGAGCCACCCAGGCACCCCCAGCCTGCCTTCTGTAGGACTCACAGACAGGAAGCTCCCAGAGGGAGCTACCCCGCCTTACACTGCAGTGTGCAGCCAGCTGAGGGGGGGGGATCCCATGATGGAAGTTCCGTGATGGCGGCGGCATGTGGGTTCCAGGGACAAGAAAGCCTAGGCTTCCTACCTGTTGCCTCATGTTTCCCAGCAGGACAGGAGGGCAGAGATGTCCCCACCGTACAGGTCAACTGTTTACAAAGTGGGCTGAACCTCAGCAGCACCAGGGAGTATTTAAAAAAATTCAGATTCCTGTGTCTCGCTCTCAGAGTCTGGAACTGAGGATGGGGACTAAGAAAATGATTTTTTTTTAAAAGCATCCCCATTGACCTGGACATGGAGCCATGGTGAAAAGCATCCGATGTCCAGGTGAGGGATGGTAATGCACCCCAGTTTCCAGACTGTCCTTCTATGCAGAGATGGGGAACCCTCAGAGCTGGGAGGGTGCGGGAAGGCAGAAGGAAGGCATACAGAGTAGAGCAGCAGGCCCCCTCCTCCCCCCGCCAACCTCCACCCCACAGAAGGGAGGAGGATGTCTACCCTGCAGACTCATGCCCCAGGCTTGGTCATCGTTATCCTAGGGCTGGAAGGGGGCAGTCACTTGGCCCCTTGAGATGTGAGCTCTGCCAAGAGGGACTAGTCACGCCCCCTTCTAAAAACAAGGCTCCCCCATAAAGCCGTCCTGCAGTCCGGGATTTATGGGATGGTATGCTGGGTTTGTTCAGGAATCCACCAGTAGCCACCATAAGTCTTATGCCCTTGCGCTTGTCTGGGGGGAGGGGGGCTCATTAAAAGGCTTTGGGGAGGGAGGCCCCCAATTTCTGCAAGAATCGCACCTGCTCCTGCCCTCCCCTCAGTTCAGTCAGGAGCCGGAAGCCGCCGGCTTGGGTCTAGGCTGGGGTGGGAGCCAGAAGGAGGGTGAAGGGGAGGACAGCTTCTCAAGCAGGAATGCAGGGCCACGCGATGCAGAGGGACGGGGACCCGCTGGTCCCCACCCACTCGCAACCCAGAGGAAGTGGCTGTCACCGTAGCAGGAAGGCTGGAGGGCAGATGTGAGGATGGACTTTCTGACGGTGACAGTGGAGCAGGCGTCAGGGGTGGTGGCCGCAGCAGAGAGTGGACGTCTCTCTCTGCTGGGGACAATCGGGGCATTGAACCCGGCGGGGTCTTGGGTGCGACAGGGCAGACGGAGGGGTGAATGGTTTGTTGTTCCTCAGCTCAAGACATAAGATGCCTCTGTCGCTTTTCCCTTGAGAGAATCAGCTCTTCAGACTTGGGGGTCAAGGGGGAAGGGAGACAGGAAAAAGGCTTGTCACCTTGGTGCCGTCTGCCCCTCACCCCCATCTGGGGACAGAAGGGCTCAGTGTGACCCAGTCTGCGGCCGGCCCAAGGCCGGGCACAGTGTGGCCTTTGTCCCTGGGCCAGGGAGCCATCTGGGGCTGCCTTCGTGCAACTGGTGCCAGGGGAGGAGGGGGATGGGCATCGGGGCTGCTGGCCTGGCTGGGCTGTGGGGGGGGGGGGACACATGGAAGCAGAAGGGCCCCCCTCAAGAACCATAAAGGTAGACTCTTCACTAGCAGACCCCCAACTAGGCTTTCCCTCCTGCACCCCCCGCCAGGGAAGCCACAAGTTCTCAGCCTACCTGCTGTCACTTCCTCCTGGCACACAGTGGCCGGCCCAGTACTTCCTGCTGGGGCACAGGAGGAATGAGGAGCCAGGCGGGAGGAAACCGACACTTGCCCAGAGTCCACCATGCACCCAGGGAGAAAGGGCCGAACTTCTGGAATGCCAGCAGAGGCACTTACAGACCTACCGCACCCCCTTGCTGGCCCGTGGAGGGACGACACTGAGGCTCCACGATGAGAACTGACTTGCTCAGAATCACGCGGCAACTGCCTGGTCATTGCCAAGTGCACCAATTCTGCAACCACATGGCTCCTTGCTTCTAAGGGGAGCTCTCCCCACCCTGCCCCTCCCTACGGCCAAGGCTGTGAGTGCTGTTTCCCGTTCCGGGTCTCCCCAACCCCCACCCTGAATTAAAAACCAAATTCAAGTTTTGGTGTCACATTAGCAGGGGTGGATGGTGGCAAATTACATTCTATCATCTCTCTTAGCTTTGGTTCTGCTTCTTCATTTGACAATTATCTATTGAACAGCTATTACATGCCAGGCACTGGTATAGACCCTCAGAATCCATTTATGAAAGAAACAGACAGATTCCTGCCCTCGTGGTACTTATATTTTAATGGTGGGAAGCAGCAGACAAGAAAATAAATACATAAAATGCACAGGATGTTATAATAGTGATGAGTGCAATGAAAGAAAATGAAGTAGCAAAGAAGGATAAGGTGTGGGGGGGGTGGGTGTTGCAATCTTACACAGGGGGGCCAGGAAGGTCTCCATGGGAAAGGGACATCTTAGAGGAAGAATTCCAAGAAGGTGTAGCAAGGGAGTTGGTCATGCTGAACCTGAGGGAAGCAGATCAGTGCAGGGACAGGAGGTGCAAAGGTCCTGAGGCAGAAGTGCTTGGTAGGCTCTAGGAACAGCAGTGTGGCCGCAGAGGGGGCCATAGAAGAACACGGAGCAGATGGCATTGGCCCCCACAGGGAACAGGAGGGTTTCAGCAGATGAATGATATGATCCCACTTAGATGTTAACAGGCTACTCTGGCTGCTGTGTTGAGAACAGACTGTATGGACAAGGAAGGAAGCAGAGAGCCTACTTCCTAGGAGGCTACTGTAGAGATCCAGGCAGATGGTGGTGGCCGAGACCAGTGTGGGAGCAGTGGAAGTGGCTGGCTTCTGGATATATTTTGCAGGTGGAACCAAAGGGATTTACAGATGGATTCGTACAGGGAGTGACGGAAAGGAGTCCCGCGTGACCCTGAAGGGCTGTGGCCAGAGCACGTGGGAGGAGGGGGTGGCCGTCGGTGGAGGGGAAACAGGCTGGGGTGGAGGTGCGGGAGGGAAGCCCCAGAGCTGGGCGTGGGGCACGTGTGCACATCCAGCGGGCATCTGTGTGCAGGTGCAGAGATTGCGACACAATGCGGCACCAGCCCGGGGACGACACCAGGAGAGGCCGGCGCTTCTCAAGGCTTCTCTCAAGCTCTGCCAGGATGCAGAGGTGCCGGAAGATAGGCCTCAGATAAAGCTCATCAGACACGTCCCTCGGACACCTCTTTCCAGCCTGGGCAGGCAGGGTCCCCCCCACTCAGACAGACACAAGTCTCCAGGGCCACGCAGGGCAGAGGAACCCCATCCGCGGAGGGGAGAAACCTCCACACAGCAGGCCAGGCTCATTGTCCGAGTTGTGCAGACACAGCCTGCTGCCATCCCCCCACCCCCACCCCGACCCAGGATGGCCTCTGCCAGGTCCTCGACCTACCCCCTGCCAGGCTTTCACTGGGACAAGGAGGTTCGAAGAGCAACTAGGGAAGCCGGGGAGCAACCTCCACCCCCCGGAAGCGAGACTAATGTGGCAGGCGGGGGTCAGCTTCAGCCCTAACCTCCAGGGAGTCTGGCTTGGAGCCTCCTCTGGGCAACCTTCTGGGGGAAGCCCTTTGCCTTCTGAACAAAGCCCCAGTCCACGGCCTGCACCCAAGGTCCTGCAATCCGGCCCCTTGGCTCCCTGGCTTTGCTCTTTCCGCTGCCCACAGCCCCAGCTCGGCCCCAGCACCCGTATCCCCTGTGCGCAGTTCAGGCACGGGGGCTTCCCTGAGCCCCCAGGGCCACTGGGCAGGCCTCTGATGGACACGGTCCGAGAAAGCGCATAATCTCACAGGGCCACGGTGAGGACTTTTCAAGTGCCTCTCCCACAGGGGAGCTCTGCTCTCTCTGCCTGGTGCCGGTGACATACAGCAGACGGGCACGTGGTGAGCACCCAGTGGATTCCAGGAACAAGTCAGATGCTCCTCCAAGTCCCTCTTATGGTTTCGTCCCGTTTTCTCTTCTTTTTTAGATCTCTGTCTTCGTGGTCCCAGGAGGCAGAGCTCGAAGGACGGAACTCACAACCGCCTGCTTTCTGGAGCCCAGAGAGTCTGAGCCTCAGTCTCAAAGACTGACCGCTGGCCGGGATCCTCAGGACACCCTCTGCTGCTCACTCCCTGCCCCCAACACGGTCACTCTGCCACTTTGGGCGGGTTTCAAAAGAACAAGAGGCCACGGCTGACCAAGTTCACAGACGTCATGAGCCGGGGCTTCAGAGACACGCCCCCCTCCCAGGGAGCAGTGTGCCTCAGGGAGCCCTGCTGATAGCCATCTCTTCCTTCATCCTCCAGCTGCCCCTGCCCTGCACAGCGTGGGGCTTCGGTTCCTTCAGCTTGTGACAGGCCTCAGGGACCGCCAGTCGCCACAGCAGAAGCCCCGGAGCCCCCATCACTGACCTCACCCCTGCCCCCAGCTCCAGCCTATATGGGAGGCTGGGCGGCCAGCACAGAGGATAGGAGGTAGGCCTGCAGCCCCCCTGCTAAGGAACAGATGCTTCCCACAGCCTCTGTTTGGAATGCAGGAAGCAGGCAGGAGGGCCTTCCCGGAGCAAGCAGGGGTGACCTGCAAGGAGCACGGTCAGGAGGTGAAGTGGCTGGGGCTCAGGGCAGCCTCTCCCCTCTGGACAGATGCACCATTTACCCCTGCAGGGTCCCTTGCCTGATGGAAGTGTCCTCCAATGAGGGCCACACGCTGTCCAGGCCTGCTCGCCAAAATTCTCTGCCGTTCGGAGCATGGAAGAAACCCCAGCTCTCTCACTTCCAGCACGGTGACCTGGGAAGCCCCCGACCCCTCTGACCCCACGCTTCGGTTTCCTTGTCTGCTAAATGGACAGAATACCTACTCCCTGATCCAATTGCCAAGAAGCTGCCAGACTTAACCTTCTTGGCTGCTTTCCGACAATGTCACTCACCTATTTAAAATCCTTCAACATAACACTGCCCTCAGACAAAAGTCCAAACTCCAGGGCCCAGACGACTAGGCCTCTTGTGTTTTGAGCTGTCTCCTTCTGGAGTCTCGGCTCTCACCCCTCCCTGCAGGGTCCGGTGTTATGGAGTGTACTTAGCATTCCCAGAGTAAAGCCACACTCGTGCCCTGCAGCTTTGCACAGGCCGTTCCTTTGGCCTGGGATGTCCTTCCTCATTGTCCCCTTGGTAAGGCGGCTTCTAAACTCAACCCAAGTGTTGCTTCCCCTGGAAAGGCACGCAGGACCACACCTCCTTCCTTTAGGTAAAAATGGGATGCTCTCTCCTGTCGCTCCCAGTCCAGCCTGTGAACATTTGTCCCTAGACTGTGATGTCCTTCAGGACAGCAGCAGGGTCTCTGTGAGCTGTTTGCCCAACACCTGACACGGGGTAAGGAGCTGACGAGGTGCTGTCAGTGTTCGTGCAGTGAATGAGACGATCATCGGCCACTGCACCCCAATGACATTTCAACCTCTTCCCTCTGCAGACGTAATAGGGACAAGGCGCACTGTCACCCTTCCCCATAGTCCCCTTGAGCCTCCAGGACGCTCTGTCCGTCCGCGGCATATGCGATTCTCTTCCTACTTCCAGCCCAGCCAAGGTCCCATTCTAAGCGGTCAGGCCTGCTCCACTCTGAGCAGGTAGGGGCTCGAGCACAACGGGGGAGGGCCTGGCCCTGCCCTCCTTCCAGCCACGCCAGAGCAAGCCCCGCGGCCTGAGTCCCCGGGGCATCGTCTCTCCTTGGTTCTCCCGACTCTCAGTGGGAACCAGAACATGGGCAGGAACGGTGGGCCAGGGACCAGGGCAAGCCGGGAAGTGCTCACAGCTTCAAGGCTTGCCAGGGCGCAAACTCTTCCAGGAGGCCCTCTGTGATGGACGGCCCTCCCTTCTCCTACCTGAGAGCCCGCGGGCCCCAGCTTGGTTCCCTGTACTGCACCTGCTCACTTGTCTGCTTCCCCAGTTTGCCCGCAAGCTTGTTAAGGGCAAGGACTGGGTTAGACTCATCCTTACACCCCCCCCAGGGCCTGGCACTGAGCGAGCCTTCGAACGATCAACGAGAATCTGGAAGCGGTGAGTTCTGAGTTCTAGGGGCTGTTTGGAGATGAGAGCGCAGCCAGGAGCCTGTCCGCTACTCAATGGACTCAACCTCCCTTCCCCAGTTCCCTGACGGCAGTGGTGGGGGCCAGGGGGCCCCTGAGGCACCGGGGAAGCTGCCTGCCCCGCGGCAACCCCCTCGGTGAGGTCTGCGCAGGTCTCCACTTCGGTGGATGACCCACCGTGACAGATGGACTGGGGGAGGGGAAAGTCCTAATGCAGGGTTCCGACCAAACACCATCGATTGGGGCCCACAGGGTTGTGGGGAGGGGGTGGTGACAGCCCTGGGGCCCTCCTCATGGGTTCCCATCCCTCCAGAGCAGACTCCCCGCACCTCACAGGTCAGGTGCACTATGCGGGGATCAGACCTTGGCCTTGACCCCTCCTGACCCACTGACTGCCCATTTCTAGCCCCTCTGTGTGAGCCCCACATCAGCACTGCTGATACTCTCTGTTGCTCTCTTTGGCTTCCAAACGTTCAAGGAATGGGGGCTCAAATATCATCTTCTCTATTTTATTTTTGATCACTTTTGAGACCCAGCTAAGTCTAGTCTGCAATCTTTAGGGAGGCTCTGAATTTGCAAGTGACACGACCGGAGAAGGTGCCAGAGAAGGCGCCCTCCAAGGCGCCCTCCGGCCAGTTCTCTTCCCGCCAGAACGTCCCAGACCAGA